TTCACAACGCCCCCGAGTGGCTCTCTCCCACAGCCAGCTCTCCTCTTGGGGCCTGGGTCACAAAGCTCACACGGCTCGTCTCCAAGGCCGTCCCACACCTGCCAGCAGCATCAGACCCCACAGCACTGAGCACAGAAGAGCCCGGCCGCCCAGACCAGACCCCACGTGCTGTGGCGACCTACATGCCCACGGGTCCGGGCACCTGCTATCAGCGCCCCGCTGGGTCAGTCCTCTGACCGCCCACGGAAAGCAGAAAGGGCCAGCCCACGGCCTCAGCTCCCCTCAGAGACCCCACAGCACCTCCCACAGGCATGTCCCGAGAGGCCATACCCACCCAACATGCACTGGGACCTCCGTCCTTCTGCCGCGAGTCTGTGTCCTGGTGGCCTTCTGGCCTCCGGCGGCAGCTGAGACGGGGCCACCCCCTCCAGCCCAACTGTTTCTGGTCTCAGATTCCACCCACATCTGCCTGTACTCAGCTGCAGGCAGGGCGAGGGACATGATAAGGACGGAGACAGCAAGGAGAGCCCAAGCCTGGCGGGCAGTGTGTGCCCTCCACCTCGGCTCACTGCAGAGGACCGCCCGCGTCTGGGGAGTGAGGTGAAGGGGCTCCCGAAGGTCCAGCATCTGGCACGGAGGCCCTCGCGCTATCAACACAGTGGCCTGCAACCCCAGCACAGCACCGTCTCTCATGGGTCACGGGTCCCTCACTCTCAGTCCCACTCACTTGCCTCATCCATGAAGCCGAGGGCCTTGGAGACAGAACTGACCCAGCCTCAGCCCAGGCTGCCTCTGGCTGGGAAGGCGGGATGACGGGGAGAGCCCACCGTTCGCTACTGTGGACCCCACAGGGAGGCAGAGAGGGAAAGGGCGGTACCAGCCCAGGGGGCATGTGGTAGACGCCACTCAGAGAGGGACAGCGAGGACATGGAGGAGCTGGGACGCTCGGAGTGAGAGGGACAGAGAGGGACAGGGAGGCCGGTGAGGAGCTGGGACGCTCAGAGCGAGAGGGACAGAGAGGGACAGAGAGGGACAGGGAGGCCGGTGAGGAGCTGGGACGCTCGGAGAGGGACAGAGAGGGACAGAGAGGGACAGAGAGGGACAGTGAGGCCGGTGAGGAGCTGGGACGCTCGGAGCCAGGTGGATGCCACACAGAGAGGGACAGAGAGATCCCCAAATTTCATTCTGCAACCGCAGGTCAGAAAATCTGCTGAAGAAAACATCCTCGGTGGCTCAAGCCTGTAATCCCAGCACTTTGGGAGGCCAAGGCGGGCGGATCACAAGGTCAGGAGATCGAGACCACAGTGAAACCCTGTCTCTACTAAAAATACAAAAAAAATTAGCCGGGCGCGGTGGCGGGCGCCTGTAGTCCCAGCTACTCGGGAGGCTGAGGCAGGAGAATGGCGTGAACCCGGGAGGTGGAGCTTGCAGTGAGCCGAGATCGCGCCACTGCACTCCAGCCTGGGCGACAGAGCGAGACTCCGTCTCAAAAAAAAAAAAAAAAAGTAAAAAAAAAAAAGAAAACATCCTAACTACAACAGAAATCTTGGAAGATGAAATGTCTATTTTTAAAAAGTAACAGACTGGGCGCGGTGGCTCACGCCTGTAATCCCAGCACTTTGGGAGGCCAAGGTGGGCAGATCACTTGAGGTCAGGCGTTTGAGACCAGCCTGGCCAACATGACAAAACCCCATCTCTACTAAAAATACAAAAATTACCCAAGCATGGTGGCGGGTGCCTGTAATCCCAGCTACTCAGGAGGCTGAGGCAGGAGAATTGCTTGAGCCTGGGAGGTGGAGGTTGTAGTGAGCCAAGGTCGTGCCACTGCACTCCATCCTGGGCGACAGAGCGAGACTCTCAAAAAAAAAAAAAGGCCAGGCGTGGTGGCTCACGCCTGTAATCCCAGCACTTTGGGAGGCCGAGGCGGGCAGATCATAAGGTCAAGAGATTGAGACCATCCTGGCTAACACGGTGAAACCCCGTCTGTACTAAAAATAAAAAAAATTAGCCGGGCGTGGTGGCGGGCGCCGGTAGTCCCAGCTACTCAGGAGGCTGAGGCAGGAGAATGGCGTGAACCTGGAGGGCGGAGGTTGCAGTGAGCCAAGATCATGCCGCTGCACTCCAGCCTGGGTGACAGAGCAAGACTCTGTCTCCAAAAAAAAATAATAAATAAATAAATAAATAAATAAATAAAATTACACAAATAAATAAAAACTAAAAAGATAACAGTATGCTCTGGGTGGTTTTACATAAATTAACTCCTTCAATATTCACACAGAAATGAGGCCCAGTATTGGTGCTAGAATCATCATTCAGATGAGAAAACAGGTTAGGGAGCGGGGCCCGGCCACACAGTGAGGACGAACCCTCTCTACTGGCAGGTGTGGGAGGGCGTCACGGTTTTATGAGGCCAGCGGTGACCTCCCTCTTGTCTCCCTCATGTCACCCTGATGTCACAGCCCAAGGTTTGGCTCTGCAGCCACCCCCACTGCCAGCTGGGCCGGGGCAGGCGCCGGGGCAGGCCAGCTCAGCCTCCTTTAGTGCAGCCAAGCAGAGAAAGGCCCAGGAGCCTCCTGGCCAGCTCAAGGCCAGTGGACGCTGAGGGCAGGGGGCGAGGACACAGTGAGGGTGGCCAAGAGGCTGCCAGAAAGTGCCTGTGACCTGGTCGTGGGACTGGGACAAGCCCGTCCCCAGGGTCCTGGAGGCGGATCTGGTGCCCACACCTCTGGGGCACCCGTGGTGGGGCAGGGGCGGCCTGCTCAGCGTGGAGAGGGGCAGGGCGGCCACGGCAGCTTCTCCTTCCCCTCCTCCCAGCAGGGCCTCGGCCGCCGCCCTTCCTCAAGTGTCCCCACGTCCACCCACAGCCACAGCCCACCAGCGAGGCCTCTGAGAGGGAGGCGTCTCCAGGAACCTGCACGTTCACTGTGCATTACGAGAGCGGCACGCGCTCATCACGGAGCTTCATAGGAAAAGCGGCCTCTCCTGTGGGCCTTGCCCTGTTCACCGCCGTGTCCACACTGGGCGGGTGCTGAGGAGCCCCTGTCTGGAGTGTGGACACCAGATGTGAAGCTGGCCATGTCCCCAGCCCCAGGCACCCCAGCAGGCCAAGCTGTAGCACAGGGACCTCCTCTGGGAAGCCAGGGCAGCCTCAGCCTTGGAGGCTCCCATTGTTCAGAGCCCAGCAAGACAGGGAGGAGCGGCGGATGTGGAGGGAAAGGGAACCCAGGCCGGCAGGCTTCCTGGAGCTGCTGCATCTGCCAGAGGGCTGGCCTCCCCGCCCCCACCCCACCGCCTGCCAGCCCTGATGCTGAGCCACAGTTTAATGCCGTCTGTGGGACTCTGAATTTCCCAGAGAAGGCTCAAGCGCTGCCTGGAAACCCCCGAACCAGGTGGACGTGGGCAACATGGCTTTTCTGACCTCAGCTGTGCCTGCTCATGCAAAAGCTGAAGTTTTTTGTTTGTTTTTTTTTTTGAGATGGAGTCTCGCTCTGTCCCCCAGGCTGGAGTGCAGTGGCACAATCTCAGCTCACTGTAACCTCTGCCTCCTGGGTTCAAGCAATTCTCCTGCCTCAGTCTCCCAAGTAGCTGGGACTACAGGTGCCCGCCACGACGTCCGGCTAATTTTTATATTTTTAGTAGAGATGGAGTTTCACCGTGTTGGCCAGGATGGTCTCTATCTTCTGACCTCGTGATCCGCCCGCCTTGGCCTCCCAAAGTGCTGGGATTACAGGCGTGAGCCACGCGCCCAGCCAAGGCTGAAGTTTTAGGAGGAATCTGTGATCACCGTGGACATTCGGATGGAGAATGTTTCTTGGCCTCGGGGGAGGGAGAGAGGAACAGGAGCTCAGCCCCCTGATGACGCCTCCTGACCCAGCGTGGGAGGGCCTCTCCAGATGTGGCCACGTGGATGCTCCTCCAATGACCCGGACCAGGCACTCTACCTAAAAGGACAAACCCAGGCCTGGCTGTTTTCGGGGGCAGGGTCCCAGGGGCCACAGACACGGATGTCCTCCTCGGTGACCAGGGTGGCGCGGACAGGTGTCCAGACAGCGAGGCTGGGCCAGCACGGGGGCCAGGACACCTCCCGCGAAGAAGCTGATCCAGGCCGGGCGCGGTGGCTCAAGCCTGTAATCCCAGCACTTTGGGAGGCCGAGACGGGCGGATCACGACGTCAGGAGTTCGAGACCATCCTGGCTAACACGGTGAAACCCCGTCTCTACTAAAAAATACAAAAAACTAGCCGGGCGAGGTGGTGGGCGCCTGTAGTCCCGGCTACTCGGGAGGCTGAGGCAGGAGAATGGCGTAAAAACCTGGGAGGCGGAGCTTGCAATGAGCTGAGATCCGGCCACTGCACTCCAGCCTGGGCGACACAGCAAGACTCCGTCTCAAAAAAAAAAAAAAAAAAAAGAAGAAGCTGATCCAGAGCCCGAGTAGAGGAGCCCGCTGGGGAGGGCTGAGCTGGGGCCTCTTGTGGGGCTGGCCTTGTTGACAGAGCTGGACACTGACCACATAAGGGCAGGTGCCTAAAGCGGCACAGGAGGGACGGGGGGATGTGGCCATTCCAGGAAGCGCCAGCCTGTCCCAGAGAGCGCCGAGGCTGTTCCAGAGGGCACCGTGTCGGCTCCAAAGGGCGCCAAAGCTGTTCCAGGGGGAGCACTAGGCTGTTCTAGGGGGCACCATGTCTGTTCCAGGGAGCACCAGGCTGTTCCAGGGGGCACTGAGCATATTCCAGGGGGCGCCGTGTCTGTTCTGGGGGGGCCATGTCTGTTCCAGGGGGCACCGTGTCTCCTCCAGGGAGCGCCGAGGCTGTTCCAGGGGGCGCCGAGGCTATTCCAGAGGGCTCTGTGTCTGTTCTGGGGGGGCCTGTCTGTTCCAGGGAGGGCCATTAGTGTTCCAGGGGGCACTGAGGCTGTTCCAGGGACCCTGCTAGCTGGGGGTTGCACTTTGAAGACATCCCACTCTGCTTAGGTGGAGAAAAGGCTGTAGAAGCCCTTGGGTACCTGTGCAGGGAGAGTCAGCTCTGTGCTGAGGCAAAGCCAGGGTCCCATGCGCTCCCCGGCCCCGAGGGTGGTCTCCAGCGGCGGTAACAGGGCCTCATCCCACAGAGGTGCAGGCCCGGGGCCTGCAGATGGCCTTGGAGGAGGTGGTGGATGAACGGAAGGGTGAGGGGTCTGGGCCCGTCCCGAGGGACAGGTGCGTGGTCATGGCCCCACAGGACAGCCAGGGTTGTGCCTGCTGAGGGGGCCGCATCCACGCCAACCCCCGCCCAGCTCAGAGGCGGCCCCTCCCCCCGGACACAGTGACCTGAATACGTCAGGGAAGGCGATGTGCCTGGAGGTGCCCCACAGCCCTCAGCACCCACTGGGAACACAGGAGAGGAAGTCCCTGGAGTGGTCTGAGGCCCAAGGAGGCAGCTGCATGGGATAGGGAAACTGAGGCAGAGAGCCTCGGCTGCTGCCACGTGGGAGTGGGGCTTTCACAGGGGAGAGGGCCATGGCCCTGCCCCATGGAGGGGCTGCCAGGCAGGGCGTGTGTAGGGTGGGCCTGGGCAGAGGCCGGGGGGCGGTGAGTGAAAAGGCAGTAAACCCACAACAAACGGGGGGTCCGCAGCCCAGGGCGAGGCAGCCGGGCCAGGGCCTGACAGCGCTCACTGCTGTTTACAAGGACTGCAGGGTGAAGGACATGAAGGGGTCCCAGGCCCCCTTCCCACCCCCTGCCCACAAAGACAGGGCCCTGGACAGCTCCCATGGGGGCCGAGCCCCTCCCAGGAGGCTTCCCGCCCCGGCCTGTCCCCGGCACAGAGAGCAGTCTGAGGCTCGGGCTGACACCCCAGGCACTAGGCAGCCTCCACTGCCTCCCAGCCTCTGTCTCCCAAACCCTGGCCCAGTCTTCAACTTGCAGGGTCTTGATTTGTAGGAACAGGAGGGAGGGAGGCTGCACCTCCCCTCGGGCTGTTTCTCTTCAGCGCTGAACCTGCCGGGGCAGCTGAGCTGAGCGGGGATGCAGCCTCCCTGGCTCTGCCCACAGGGGAAGGCTCCTCTCACCTCCCTGGCTCTGCCCACAGGGGAAGGCGCCTCTCATTTCTCTTTTTTAACCTGAAGAAGCTGCTGGGAGGGCAGATGTTCTTCTTGACTCCAAGGGATGAAAAAAGGTTTAGTGTAAAAAACTAGGAACACTGAAGGCCACCACGGAACTGCCCGAGACCCAAGAGGCTGTGGGTTCCCTGAACCCCGGGAGGCGGTGCTGAGCACCCAAGGGGGTTTCGGGCCCTCTGCCTGGCACCCCGAGGGACAGAGGGGACCAGAGCTCCCACCTCTGCGACCAGCCCTGAGCGGCTGCACGGTCCCCGCCACCTGCCCCGGATGCTGTCACAGGCCTGGCGCCAGGCCACCCACGCTGGGGTCCAAGGAGGCGGCCTGTCTTGAACGCCGAGGACAGAGTTCACAGCAGGGCCTCCGGACTCACAGGGTCCCAAGCTGTGGACACTGTAGAGAGGCCTGCAGCTAGGGTCCAGCAGCCTGGCCCTCGTCACTGAGTACAGAGTGGGCACCACCACCCCCGTGCACCCCCACGCACCTCCCCCGACAGCCCCAGGGAGACTCGGCACCATCAGGCTCAGACTCACCCGTGCAGCGGCGCTCACCAGTGGCGGGGTCACCAGTGGGGTCTCCTGGGTCCATCCTCAGGGCCGGGCCGAGGACGCTGGCAGGCAGCTAGGAACGAGGATCTGCAGAAACAATCAGGTGGGGCCCCTGAATGAAGAGCCCCCTCCAACAGGCAGCCCGTGGAGCCCACGCCCGCAGCCCCTGGAGGTGGTGGAGGGACCTGGTGCCCGGGGCCCCCAGTCGCTGAGCACAGCGGGCAGCTCCACACTCCTCTCCCAGCTGGCGTGACGGCTGCCAAGTTTGGACCCTGCATCCAGTTCCCCGCCAAACCGCCCCAGCTTTCAGCAGGGAGGGCAGGGGATGGGAGGGCCCCGGGGGGCACAGTAGACAAACCCACACGGGCGGGCAGAGGGGCCTATTCTTGAGGACAGCATGACTCCCCTTGCCATGGCCCCCTCAGGCTGTGTGTCCTGCCCCGGAGGGAGCCACACGGGAGAGAGAAGCTCTCCTCCACCTGCAGGACCAGGGACCTGGGAGCGACGCCCTCAAGGCCGACCCAGCACACGGCTCCGTTAGAATCTAGGCAGCTGCTGACAGCTCTCATCCCAGGCAGACCTCAGCCTCCCTCAGAGAGGTTTTTTTTCTTTTTTTTTCTTTTTGAGACAGAGTCTCTCTGCGATGCCCAGGCTGGGGTACAGTGGGGCGATCTTGGTTCACTGCAACCTCTGCCTCTCGGGTTCAAGTGATTCTCCTGCCTCGGTCTCCCCAGTATCTGGATTACAGGCATGCGCCATCGTGCCCGGCTAATTTTTATATTTTTAGTGGAGACAGGGTTTCACCATGTCAGTCAGGCTGGTCTCGAACTCCTGATCTCAGGTGATCCGCCTGCCTCAGCCTCCTGAGGTGCTGGGACTACAGGTGTGAGACACTGCACCCGGTCCCTGGGAGTGTTTTTGATGCAAAACCCCTGTCTAGCCTTACGAGGGTTACCCTTTTCCTTCAATCTGCTTACGCAAGGCTGCACACAAAAGCTTTCTTCGGGCGCTGTGGCTCAAGTCTCGCTCTGTCGCCCAGGCTGGAGTGAGTGGCGCGATCTCGGCTCACTGCAAGCTCCGCCTCCCGGGTTCAAGCCATTCTTCTGTCTCAGCCTCCCGAGTAGCTGGGACTACAGGTGCCGCCACCATGCCCGGCTAATTGCATAAAAAGGCTTTCTTCGGGCGCGGTGGCTCAAGCCTGTAATCCCAGCACTTTGGGAGGCCGAGACGGGTGCATCACGAAGTCAGGAGATCGAGACCATCCTGGCTAACCCGGTGAAACCCCGTCTCTACTAAAAAAAAAAAAATACAAAAAACTAGCCGGGTGTGGTGGTGGGTGCCTGTAGTCCCAGCTACTCGGGAGGCTGAGGCAGGAGAATGGCGTGAACCCGGGAGGCTGAGCTTGCAGTGAGCTGAGATCCGGCCACTGCACTCCAGGCTGGGCGACAGAGTCAGACTCCGTCTCAAAAAAAAAAAAAAAAAAAAAGGCTTTCTTCGACTGTATAGCTTTAGTTTGAATCACCCCCAGCAGTTACACAAAGCTCAGCACGAGAACTCCGAATCCTAACACAGGCGTGCAGGAGAGAGCTGCGCGGCCCTCCCCCAGGCAGCCCTCACAGCGGCCATTCCCGGGAAGACCGACTGTGTGTGTCTCAGTCACAGGCGGCATAGTCACGTCTTGGCCTTCAGTTTTACACATTACCAACCAGCTCAGCCCAGGCAGGGTGAGAATCTGTCTTACCTGCGGGCCAACACACACCCCTAAACACACAACAACACAACCTCCTAAACCAAGTTACGTGGACATCGTCTGTGGACTCAGGACTGACAGAGGCCGATCGTAGCCACGTCAACACCATTCCCAGCCGTGTCACAAGGAAGGTTAGGATGGCTTTTCCTTTCTCACGCGGGCTGCTCCAGACTCTGCTCTGCCGTGGGGGAGGGACTGCTGCTCTCCCACTGCAAACGATGTAAACCCCGATGATACATCTTAGGAAACCAGTTTACGGACAACAGGCAGTGTGAGGCTCCGTTTCCCGACAGCAGAGCCGTGCCCAAGGCGGCCCCAGGACAGCTGCTCCCCACGCTGGAGCCCGGGCTGGGCACAGAGTCCCACCACGCCGAGGGGGCCGCTGGGGGTCACACACCGGCAGGAGGGGCTGCTGGGACAGCGAGTGTGGGGGCAGGAGGACCCCCAAGCCTCCCAGGACCCATGGCCCCAAGGCTGAGAATACAGTGGAGATACCAGAGGCCACATAGCACCTGACACACTGCAGTCCAGCCCAGCCCAGAGGAAGGACCACATCAAAACACAACCAGGACCAGAACAGCTACAGTCGAAGACCACGCTGAGAGGAAGGCCTGCTCCAGAGCCTCCCACCAGATCCAGACCAAACCCATGAAAGCCAGAGGACAGATCCAGACTAAACCCACGAAAGCTGGAGGACAGATCCAGACGAGACCCGCGAAAGCCAGAGGACAGATCCAGACTAAACCCGCGAAAGCCGGAGGACAGATCCAGACTAAACCCGCGAAAGCCGGAGGACAGATCCAGACTAAACCCGCGAAAGCCGGAGGACAGATCCAGACTAAACCCGCGAAAGCCGGAGGACAGATCCAGACCAAACCCGCGAAAGCCGGAGGACAGATCCAGACCAAACCCGCGAAAGCCGGAGGACAGATCCAGACCAAACCCGCGAAAGCCGGAGGACAGATCCAGACTAAACCCGCGAAAGCCGGAGGACAGATCCAGACCAAACCTGCGAAAGCCGGAGGACAGATCCAGCCTAAACCCGCGAAAGCCGGAGGACAGATCCAGACCAAACCCATGAAAGCCGGAGGACAGATCCAGACTAAACCCGCGAAAGCCGGAGGACAGATCCAGACGAGACCCGCGAAAGCCAGAGGACAGATCCAGACTAAACCCGCGAAAGCCAGAGGACAGATCCAGACCAAACCCGCGAAAGCCAGAGAAGGACGGCCTCTGGGTGGGGGTCGAGTCCCACCCAGACCCAACTTAGGAGGGTTGAGAAAGGCCCTGGGCTCTCTGAAGAGCCCAGGACAAAATGTCAAGACACAACCCCACATTCAAGGGACTCAGCCAGAAGCTGAACAGCCCACAGGAGCAAAACACAATGCTCTTCAGAGGACGATACCTCAATCCAGAGTTTCCACAATGGATAATTCACAAAACTCAGTGCATAATAAAAATCACAAGACCGAAAAAGAAACAAGGAAATCCGACCCATAAACAAGCAGAAAAACACAAAAAAACAGAGAACAGAAAGCAGCTTTGAGGGAGGCCTCAACGTTATTGGTGTTGGCAAAGACTTTAACACAATGATTGCAACTGTGTTCATGGAATGAACAGAAAACATCTTCAAAAAGTTCAAGGAGGCCAGGCGCAATTTGGGAGGCTGGGGCGGGAGGATCACTTGAGCCCAGGAGTTTGAGACCATCCTACGCAACACGGTGAAACTCTGCACAAAAAAACTAAAAAGTAGCCGGGTGTGGTGGCTCGTGCCTGTGGTTCCTGCTACTCAGGGAGCTGAGGCAGAAGAGTCGCTTGAGCCCCAGAGATCAAGGCTGCAGAGAGCCGAGATCACACCACTGCCTTCCAACCTGGGTGACAGAGTGAGATCCTGTCTCAAGAAAACCTCAAAAAACCATGAATAAAATTTTAAAAATATGGTTTTAATAAGTAAAAGGAGAGAGAGAAATGAAGATTATGTGAAACTACATAAAAGAACTAAATGGAAACTCTGCAATAAAAAGTGTAATCACTGAAATGTGTTTGACTCACTGACTGTGCTTGACAGCCGACAGATGGCAGATGAGTCGGTGAATCTGAAAACAGATCAAGAAGGACCAGATTGAAAGAACGAGGGGGAAATGAACTGTGGCTCCACGGCCCACAGCCAAGCGTCCTCCGTTCCCCTGGTGAATGGCCCCCCCGCAGCACTGCACACCTGGCTGTGCGGTTCACACGCTTCGTGGAGACAGCCGTTCCCCAGCCTCTGCCTGCCTCCATCTGGACGGCTGCACTGAAGCCCTGCTCACCCGGGACTCCCTTCCCTCTTGTCCCCTGTGCTCCCCGAAGTTCACTCCTAGTTCTACGGGAGCACATTTTCCAGGAGCATCTCAGGCAGAACCGCAAGGGAGGAGCACTGAGTAGCCCTTTGCTTGTCTGAGAATGTCCCCATGACCATGTGCACCCAACTCCCCAAGACACACAGGCAACCACGTCCCCAAGACACACAACCACGTCCCCAAGACACACAGGCAACCACGTCCCCATGACACACACGCAACCGTGTCCCCGACACACAACCACGTCCCCAAGACACACAGGCAACCACGTCCCCAAGACACACAACCACGTCCCCATGACACACAGGCAACCACGTCTCCATGACACACAGGCAACCACGTCCCCAAGACACACAAGCAACCACGTCCCTGTGACACACAGGCAACCATGTCCCCGTGACACAGGCAACCACGTCCCCAAGACACACAGGCAACCACGTCCCCAAGACACACAGGCAACCACGTCCCCAAGATACACAGGCAACTGCATCCCCAAGACACACAACCACGTCCCCAAGATGCACACACAACCACGTCCCCATGACACACAAGCAACCACGTCCCCAAGACACACAGGCAACCATGTCCCCATGACACACAGGCAACCACGTCCCCAAGACACACAGGCAACCCTGTCCCCGTGACACACAAGCAACTGCGTCCCCAAGACACACAGGCAACATCTCCGTGACACAGGCACACAGATGTCCCCATGGCACACAGGCAACCATGTCCCTGTCACACACGCACACTGTCCCCGTGACACACGTGCAACAATATCCTCATAACACGTGCGCACCTACATCCCCATGACACACAT